TGGCACCAGTTTTCCTCTGGGGGGGGGGGGGGGGGGAAGGGCTCTGGCCGGAGCCCAGCCAGAGCGAAGGCCTGAGTCCCAGGTGCCAGAGGAAAACTGGTGCCAGCAGCCAAGGGAAGGGAAGGCCTAATGCACGAATCTCTTCGTGCAATAGGCCTCTAGTTAAATATATTTATGTAATGTATTGCTATATATATATTTATACTATAAAACTACATATGTGTGTTTAAAAATAATAATAGTGTGTCCTGATTGGTTTGGCTCAGTGGATAGAGTGTCAGCCTGGGGACTGAAGGGTCCCAGGTTCGATTCTAGTCAGGGGCATGTACCTTGGTTGCGCGGGCACATCCCCAGTGGGGGTTGTGCAGAAGGCAGCTAATCAATTTTCTCTCTCATCGATGTTTCTGACTCTCTATCCCTCTCCCTTTCTCTCTGTAAAAATCAATAAAATATATACTGAAATTAAAAAAAAACAAAAAATAATAATAATAATTGTGCTGTCAGTTCTTGCTCTTTATTCTTAACACTTAGAGAGGGCTATATAAAATTAAAGGTCACTTATAGATCGATATAAAGTAAGTTTTGTAATAATTAAAATTTTCCTACTTTCTTCTATTGCCTCCTAAGTAAAGGTATCATGCACTCCCCCAGCCCCATCATAAACCCACAGGATGTACACATAAATACCAATTATTTCCAAATACAGAGTCCCAAGTAGGAAATTGAAACTTAGATTTGATTTCTTTTAAGATCATCTTTTAAGATCATCTGCTATTCATTTCACTTTTGGTACTGTTCCCTTATGTTTTTGACTAATTTTTTAGACCAATGCATATTTTCTATATAATTTAACTAGAGAAAATCAGTAGTGAGAAATAACATGAAGTTCATGGTTGGAATTAGTTCCAGAACCTGCTTTTGCAAATTAGACAAATGATTTGATAAGTATAGAATAAGTGTTTCCAGAGTAGTTTTTGATTCCTCAAAAGGGTTAGTGTCACAATGTGATGCATGTGCTAACAAAGGGGGGAATGTCTATGATCATTAAGAATTTAGCCTGGCCAGCGTGGCTCAGTGGTTGAGCGTTGACCTATGAACCAGGAGGTCATGGTTCAATTCCCAGTCAGGGCACATGCCACCGTTGCGGGCTAGTTCCCCAGTAGGGGCATGCAGGAGGCAGCTGATCAATGATTCTCTCTCATCATTGATGTTTCTATCTAACTCTCTCTCCCTCTCCCTTCCTCTCTGAAATCAATAAAACTATATTTTCAAAAAAGCTGTGGTCCATTTACACCATGGAATACTATGTAGCAGTAAAAAAGAAGAATCTCTTACCCTTTGAGACAGCATGGAGGGACCTGGAGAGTATTATGCCAAGTGAAATAAGCCAGTCAGAGAAAGACAAGTACCACATGATTATATTTACCTGCATCTTCGGGGGTTCTTATTTCAAACTCCAATAAAATTTCCTGTTTTTCCTCTATATCTTCTAGAATGGCACTTATGGTCTGATGCTATCAAATAAAAATATTAAAACTTCATTATAAGAAAGTAGATATTTCTCTCTGATATGCAATTGACAAATGCACAATAAAAGTGCCAAAGAAAGTGTTATTAAAAATACTCATTTCCCTTTATATTCAAAATGTAGTCATGCTTTGTTTAACCTTAAGTGTATAAATACTGCATATTTGAGGGAAAAAATAAACTGAAATATATCTTGATTTAAGCAGTAGTTCTATTCCTGGAAAATAGAATGTAAGAGTAGCAACCATTTAAAGAATCATAATTTTTCATTGACTTTCTGTCATAATTATAGGTGTAGGAGAAAAAAACAATAACTCAGCACATAATATTTAAAGATAACATATAACAACAAGTTCACTTTAAAGCCTTATGACTATCATTGCACCCGATTAAAATATCACATATGATATTAGAAATACAAAACATTACTTTCAAAAACTCAGAAAGGGGATTTAAGACCACATCTTTATATCCTTGTTAGTATTAATCTTCCTTCCTGGAATATCTTCAATTTATTCTGCCCAGATCCCTCCCTTCTTATGAAAGATGGAGTAATAAAAGTGAACTCTTGAACCAAACTGTCTGGCTGTGAATTCTGACTCCATCTCTTCCTGGCTGGCGACTCCAGCAGGTCATTTATCCTTCCTGCTTGAAATGAGTAACATACATGAAGTGGTTAGGACAGTGCCAGCACAAAGTAAGAAAGAGCTCAATAAATACTGCTTATTATTATTATATAAAACCCACCTCATACACAAAACCTCTTAATCCACACTGATTTTTCCTTTCTCAGAATTACTTAACAATTTTAGTGCTACAGAATTTAGTATGCATGTCTTACAAATTCTATTTCTCCATCAAGATAATGAGATCTTGTCATCAGGAGCATAGTTTTTATATTTACATGTGGTTTCCACACTATTGGATGTAAAGTTGTTGCTCAATAGATAACAACTGAAGGACTGGCTCATATTACCCATCCTTTAATATATTCTCAATACACATTAATTTTTACAATGTGTAGGTTCTCAAAGCCTTCTGAAGTATGTCGCTCTGAAATTTTACTTTGATGTCCAGAAGGGTTATGGAAAATGCACATAATAAAACCATCCAACTATGTGGAAAAACAATCTCATTGCTGTCCTTTATAAAATGAATCAAAACTAAACTACAAAATATAAACATGCAAAACAAACAAACAATGAGATTTACTTCTTTGTACACTGAATGGCTATGGTAATACAACTAAAGGACTGAATTTGTGTCCAGGCTAAGCCTCTACCTACAGATTCAAATAAAACAACTTCTGATGCTGACTTTCCTTTGTTTGCCGTATATTGTTCATGCACGTAGTCTCAGCCACCCTTGGCCATAAGCTTTCACTCCACACTAGTTCCATATTCCATCCTGGAGGATCCAGCACAATCTTCCCTCCAAGACCCCCTTCTTAGTCCTTCATTATTGCTTATATTAAAACACACACACAACAAAACAAAAAAACCTAACCTAGGACTTGTCTTTGGAACAAACAGCTTTACAGTTTATATCCTGCTTACTATAAAGCTTCACTATGATTTTATTCCAGACTTGCGATTTTTACTGTGGCAGGATCATCTTTGCCTCTGACACCTCTTTTAAATTTTGTATAACATAGCACAGTGGCATATGATAGGCTCTGGAGCCAGACTACCGAAGTTTAATTCTGGCATAGCTACTTAATAGAAATGTAATTTTAAAAAAATGTTCTTATTAATTTCAGAGAGAGGAAGGGAGAGGGAGAGAGAGAGATAGAAATATCAAGGATTAGAGAGAATCATTGATCGGCTGCCTCCTGCACGCCCCGGATTGGGGATTGAGCCCACAACCTGGACATGCACCCTGACAGGGAATCAAACCAAGACCTCCTAAATCAGGGTTCACCCTCAACCACTGAGCCACACCAGCCAGGCTAGAAATGTAATTTTGGATTAAGTTACTTAACGTCTCTTACTTTAGCTTCCTCGTCTATAAGGAAGAAAGTAATGACAATAACAGAACCTACCTAGAAGGGTTATTATGATGACTAAATGTGTTAATAAAGTACTTAGAGGACAGCTTGCCATATGATAGGTACTCAGTGAATGTCAGTTGTTGTTGTTATTATTATTATTATTATTATTATTATTATTTCTGTATTTATTTTATGACAGAGAAGGAGGCTGCCTACATGCTATGATCTGAAGGTAGTACCAAGGTAAAATGATCTCATTTCCTTTGTGGCCACAGAGTTACCCCTCATTGGAAATTTTGAAATTTTCAATATTTAAAACCAATTTTACATTTAAAGTCCTCATATTTCTTTTGAGTTTTTCTTTTTTGTGAAGTTGGTTTTCTTTAGACTGCTATATCTCCATTTTCTGAGGTGTGGCATCTAAAACTATATACATTTTTCCTGAAGCAAATACCCTACCCATAGTTAGTAACAATAGTGTTTTTTCATAATGTTCTAATCTTGACATGAAAATATACCTTTAAGTCACATTATCATGTAAATGCTGGACAAAATACAAGCTTTAAACACACACACACACACACACACACACACACACACACACACACACACCCCTAAAAATGGAAAAGGAAAGGAAAATTCCCTGGTGCCAGAAATTAAGCTAGCAATGGTCCATGTGGGATTTGGAACACAGGTATTAGGGGTTAGGTTTTTAATGCCCATGCAGGAATAGGAGATAAGCTCAAGCCCATTTGAGGAGGGAATTATAATGCAGTTCCTGCATAAAGTTAGTGGCCCAGAGTGGGTACGTTTTAGGTTAGATTAAGGATTAGAAAAACTTGTCACCCATCCAGGCTTTAGGTAGAAAAGTAGAGACCTACTTTTGTCACACATGTATATGAGAACTATATTTATACAATGTGTGGTTAGAAAACCAAAAAGGGAAATTAGCATAAAAATTGGTGTGCAACTGACAAACCTCTAGGGCCCTTTCAAAAGCAAATTTTCAATAGGAAGCCTACACTCACCAAAATTCCCACAGTAAACAACCATCACTGAAGTGAGATTAGAATAAAAAAAATTACAAACCACATGAAAAATCATGTTATCATGAAAAAGAGTCAGGAAGAGAGTTTAAAATTCCTTTAAAAATGTTTGAAAATATTTTATAAAATAATATCAATATTGTAAGGCAAGAACAGAAAAGTCTTTGTTTTGTTTTTTTTTAAATATTTGAAAAGGAAACAATTTCTAGAAATAAAAAAGTCATTAAAATTAAAGACTCAATATATAGGTTGAATAAATTATAAATATTTGAGGAGAAAAATAATGAATTGAAAGAGAAATCAAAGAAAATCACCCAGAATATAATACAAAGAGTTCAAGATATAGAAAATAAAAAACATATTAGGAGATACAGAGATGGGCCTAACAGACATCTAAATGAGAGTTTCAAAAAAAAGAGAATACTGAGGCTGGAGGAGAGGCAATATTCAATGATATAAGGGCTGAGAGGAATATAAATGAGAAATGTCTTCAGATAAAGGAGCACGCCTAGTCCTGACTATAATTAATAAAAACACATCCATATTTAGAATGTAAAAGAATAAGAGAAAAATTTTAAAAACTGCAAGATTAAAAAATAGATTATCTACAAAGAAATGAAAAGTTGACTTTTCATTTATTGCAACAGATACCAGGAAACAATGCAAAATATTTCAAAGTGCTAAGGCAAATACAATTTAGCTTTGAAATCGACTTAAAATATTTAAGGAGTAGCCTTTGCCAGTTTGGCTCAGTAGATAGAGCATTGGCCTGTGGACTGAAGGGTCCCCAGTTCAATTCCAGTCAAGGGCACATGCCCAGGTTGTGGGCTCGATCCCCAGTAGGGGTATGCAGGAGGCAGCCAATCAATGATTCTCTCATCATTGATGTTTCTATCTCTCTCTCCCTCTCCCTTCCTCTCTGAAATCAATAAAAACATATTAATAATATATTTAAGGTATAAATTAGATGATTAATCATAATTTGGGTTCAATGAATGACATTTTCCCTCTCTACACTAATAGAAAGTATGTAAGAGAAGCCCGATCAACATAGTCTTATTCAAAATGATATTTCACTGAGGATACTACTTTGCTTAAGAAGTAAGTTAGGATCTAGTATGCTTTGGTTTTTTTGTCAAAGTAAGGATATATATCTTATCAATTAATATATATTTTATTGAGAAACTAGTGTGTTATTTTTGCAAAAATATACCTTTATATGAAAGGTTTCAGATATAGCAAACACTATCGATCACTATTAACCATGTGGGATCCAGGTTGGTTAGACCAGATTGCTTTCCTCTTCTCTATCTGAGATTCGGGGTCTTTTCTAGTATGTTCCCTAAATATACACTATGACTGTGGAAGTGTCTATGGGACAAGAAGTAGCTAAAGAACCAAACCTAGGTGTAAAAGACAGCAGCTAACCTATAGTTCTTTATCAGTGCAGATAACTGAGAATTAACCATACAACATACCTTCTTGGCTTTTGTTCAATTATGCTACATTTTCTCATGACAGAAAACATTTTCAACCTGTGTGTCCTTAAAATAGAAGGAGTGCTGCAATAGCCAAAGTTTGGCTGGCCCAAAGAATGGCATTTTCTAGGTGAAGAACAAAGGACTTCAACTTTACTCACCATATGAAGGCTTTCTCTTGTTTTTTCTTGGTGTGAAAGAGAAGGTGGATCAACAGTTTTGAAGCCATCACAAAAACACGGTTTGTGTCTTTTGGACTGGACGGTAGGAATTTTTACTTTAAAAAGTAAAATTAGAAAATATAATAAGAATGTGCAAAAATTTAGCTTAATTTTATCAGTTGTAATGGTGAAAGGAATGGCTAAATTAAGTCTACAATTATATTAATGTTAGTCAACACCTTAATGTTTATTATCAATTGACTAATTATAGCTAACATTTACTGAATACTTACCACATGGTGGATATCATACTCTTTCCCTGAATCATATTTAATCTTCACATGAACTCTGTGTGAAAGGCAGTTTATTATATCTATTTTACAGAAGAGGAAAGTGAAGCTTAGAGGGATTCAGGAAGTTGTCTAATTGTCACATAGCTAGTACTGAAACCAGATCTGACTTCAAAGTCCATGCTCTTAATCACTATGACTATGATTTATTGTCTCTGTATAGTTCTCTCTGACTCTTCTCCCATTCTGGATTCCCTTTCTCCATATAACCATATAAACAAGTGGGAATAGATATAGCACTTTATAACAGAGTGCCTGATAACGCCAAATGAAAGGCTTCTCTTAAGTTGAGCTGATATAATTCAAGGGATCCAAACCTTCAGATAGAGCTGTGGAAAGGGATAGAGCAGTGATGCCGAACCTTTTGAGCTCGGTGTGTCAGCATTTTGAAAAACCCTAACTTAACTCTGGTGCTGTGTCACATATAGAAATTTTTTGATATTTGCAACCATAGTAAAACAAAGATTTATATTTTTGATATTTATTTTATATATTTAAATGCCATTTAACAAAGAAAAATCAACCAAAAAATGAGTTCGCGTATCACCTCTGACACGCATGTCATAGGTTCGCCATCACTGGGATAGAGACATGGATGTGGCTCTAAAAAAGGCCCTAACCGGGGGGCTTACCCTATAGTCGCAGACTATGAAAAGAGGAACTTTATATACATGTGATTTAGTATACTAGTTTACTAGTATACTAGTAAAATATGACACAATGATTATTCTTGGCTCTAACCAACCATATCAATTATATGATTCCTCCCTTGAAAATCAATAGTTGGTAAGAATACTGGTAGGCTGGGGAGAAATGTGTGTCAGACTCTTCCTAATATTCTCCTTCATAAAGAGAGAGGGCAGATTATGTTCGTGGTTTCTCCTTCTATGAGTCAAGACTCAAGCATAAGGGAAAGGGTAGAACAATTCCTTCTCCTCAATACTTAATAAATTGTGTTGAATTGCTTATTCTCTGAATGGTCTTTCCACAAGACTGAAAAC